CTTGCTGCTGCCACTGCTGGCTGCAGCTGTCGTTCTAATCTGTTATGACCGCTGCTGAAGGTAGAGGTGTGTAAACTCGGGTAGGGTTAATTTTAGTGGATAGTTAAACCGATTCGAGTTAGATTTCAACAGAAGGCGACCTATTTTGTGCAACTTAAACAAATCAGGTATTTATTTTATAATATCATCTCTTGGGGACCCCATCTTTGGGGGATCAATACCAGAAAAAGGCTAATTTCTTTCACACTTTGATTTCGTTTATTTGGAGCTATAGTTTTTAATTTTCTTCTTGATGATGTTGTGTGATGGTCCATTTGGTACCATATTGACTATATAGTTGTTTTGACATGAGTTTATAGAAATTTAGGGTTTCTCCTTCTAACAACTACCTTTTAGAGGTGAATTCTCCTAGTCTCTAATAACCTCATCGTAGTATCGGTACACGTGAAGTATCACATCAGTTCTCCTAGTAACTCCTTCCGTGCCAGAGTCCAAGATTCTTCCTTAGACTTATCACTCCAATGATACCATAGAAGAAGGCTCCCTTTGAAATATAGTGGAGCATGCTTGAACTTTTGTGATACCAAAATCTCATGTAATATTTAAGAAGTATACTTGAGGATTGAGGATGGGTGGTACAAAATGGAGCTACTTGCATTGTGCTAAGATGGACTCAGATGAGTCAGGGATGCCTTGCCTTGTCTCTGTACCCTCAACAATCAATTTTCTATTTGTTAGACGAGGGTAAGTTGAGTCTTGAACCCATCCACTTAACCCCTAAATGTTCTCAAATCAGCTGCGTGCTATGTATACCGCGCCCTTCAAAGGCCTAATGTCGATTTTCATTGTTGCCTTGCTAGCTTCTTGTGAGGAATTTCATACTCTATACCAAAACTTTAGGTACCATAGGCTCTTTGACCTCGCCTTTAAACTGTCAATCTCATATACAACCTACAATGGGTATAAAATATGTTATTCAGAATGAGTACACTCTTCATGAAGTTAAATGCATAAGAAGGTAAGCTTAATACACTATTCTCCTCAGCCGCTCCCATCATGATAGTTGTTCTGGTTCCCTTCTACATCCTACGCTATGGGTGTTTTTGGCAATTCTAACATAGGATTGGGTTTGGACTAGCGTGGAGTACACTCTTCATGAAGTTAAATGCATAAGAAGGTAAGCTTAATACACTATTCTCCTCAGCCGCTCCCATCATGATAGTTGTTCTGGTTCCCTTCTACATCCTACGCTATGGGTGTTTTTGGCAATTCTAACATAGGATTGGGTTTGGACTAGCTTTAGCTTAACTAGGCTAGACTTGACCAATTATAGGAGTTGGTCCAAAAAAAAAAAAGAAGTTTAGAGCTACTAGTCCCTCGATTCCCCTTGTGCAGTAAACTCATCCAAGAGAATCACTCTTTATCTCTTGGTGGCTACTCAGGCTTTCATAAAACATTACACGTACTACAATCGATTTCAGTGGGTAAAGTGACATTTGCCTACTGCAATAGGAGAAGTATGCTTGATGGGTAGCTTCAATCATCACCTTTGCCCAGAAAGTTTTGAGTGGGGATCATGAATTTCATTGAGGGTCTGCCCCTAAGTAGCTGTTACTTGATATTATTTTTAGTAGTTGACTATTTAACCAAATATAGACTTCATTCTTCTAAAACATCCCTACACTACACTCACCACATTTCACCCATTCAAGGAGGTGTGTCCATCTCTGGTGGCCTTCCTCCACTATTGTTATGAATCAAGGTTTTCGTACGAGTTCTTCATTAGAAGCTTAAGGGAAGAAAATTTCCCTAGCTATCTTCCAGGCATCGTGCATGTTCAAGCTGTTGGAAATGAGTTGAAAGCCATTTCGAAACTCCTCTGTGACAACAGCCTAGAGATGGCCACAAAATGAATGAAACAATGCTATGACAATAAATCAAGGTTTTAAATGTCGATGTTTGGGAAATATCGGCGACCAAAATTCATATCAGATTGCGAAAATCGGGAAAATACCAAAGATATTTAGTAAATATTGGAGTGCCATATTGGATGATGTGCGTATATAGTACAATATCCTAAAATGTAATCTAAATATACTTAATAAAATCTAAGCATACAGATATGAAAATAATGTGTTTATGATCACTAACCAATTGTAAAAACCTACTTAGCGAAAAGAGCATACTAGATTTTTTTTCTAAAAAAATGTCATAAGGATACAGATACAGGACATGAGAAATTTGTGAAATGTAGGTACGGGGACATGACTATATATATATATATATATATATATATATATATATATATATATATATATATATATATATATAATATATATATATATATATATATATATAATTTATTAATAATTTACAACATAGAATCATTAGTATTTTTCAATTTGAATTTCATATTTTTAAGTTTATTTTTATATATTGACCACTATAAATAAAAAATTGCTTGTTTTTTAAGAAGGCACTCAAACCACCCTTCTAAATCATAATTTTTAAATTGGTTTTATGCTAAAACAAACAAAACCCATGTGAACGAGTTTCAAGAAATGGACATGAAGTGTCAGATATACATCTAAGAAGTGTATGACAAGTGACTAAAATTAATGTATATCATATAATTGAGTACATGTGTAAATAAATGTATGCATATGTCCAAAGTGTGTCCATGAAGCTTGAATACTAGGACATGTCGGGTATGGGTACAGCTTCATGATAAAGGACTTAGGTAACGTAGTGTGTTCCCAATTGAGGCGATGATAAACTGTGTTTCTTGGTTCACAGCTGAAATATATAGGGATGTGGTCTAGATGCTACTGACCATCCTACACTATGAGAGAAGTCTTAGCTGGAACCTATTTCTCCACAGTTAAATTTGGTTGAATCACCTTTCAATGTGGATGATGAGTGGAAAAGGGCCTCTAGTGATTATGTTGGCCTAATTGAAGACCTTCAATCTCTTGCCTACGCAAGGGAAACAACCTGTTACAAGGTGCTAGAGTGGGGGAGCTCTGGCAGGCCTTCCAATTGTCAAGTAAGAATCTCTTTGTGAAAAGTATTAGAACAGTAAAAAAGAGGCAATAGTAAACCCTAAGTTAGGTTAGGTTAGGTTAGAGCAGTGTTATTAAGGCATAAGGAGCAATAAGGGGTGCAAAGTCTCCTTACGGTATCATGTGCATGGCGCAAGGTGATGCGCTCGCCTTAGTGAAGCAAGACACATACCACAAACAAAATTATTTGATACATACATCAAATTAAACATGCAAAATGTTTATGATTTTTGGTAGAAAAAATATCCAAGATAATAACCTCATCTATCAGATCACAAAATATGGTCTTATTTTATAATCTTAGCACTAGTTAAAAAGAGTGTTAATGTCAATTTAACTCCATTCTTCCACATTTTCAGTAATTAATCATGTTGATATAAAACAACATTTGCTATGAAATCATACATTCATAATTACTAGCATTATTAATAACCAAAGTCATAATATCTGGAATGATAGTTTGTGACTCTTAATCAATATTCTAGTTTTCCAAATATAGAATTAGTAACAAAAAGAGAGAGAAATGGGAAAAAGATGTAGTGGACAATAATATGGGGGAAAAAGGAGAAAGAGAACGAGGGACAAAGGCAAAAGAGAAGGTAAGAGAATAATAATAAGATGTAGTTGAAATAGTTAGAGAATGGTGCAAAGTGGTGAGACGCACTGAGGCACATCGAGGCGCACCAAGGCACAATTATGCGTGCACCTCACTTATGTGATGCGTCCCGCACCTCATGTGAGCACCTTTCCAGCATCCAAATGCCCAGTGCTCGAGGCTTGCGCCTAGTGCACCTGAGATAACATTGGGTTAGAGAAAGTCACCATCGGGTATTCCTATTTAAGGAGATTGTGTGGACAGATGGAGAGGGGGGGTGCACCTCTGAAACAAGAATTAACAAGAGAATCTCACCGAACCATAATGGATTGTAACTGTGTTAACCGAGTGCTATTAAAATTAACTGAACTCTTCAGTGCCGTGGCTGAGTTGTTTTACCTAGAGCCCAAAAGCCACCAAGAGTAGGCTGAGGTCTTTGAGTTGGCTCTAGTTCAGCCTGAGTCAGTGGAACACACTTTTGTCGGTTGTGAAGGACTGAGCTCTTGGACATGCGATACCTGCTGAATGATTCTTCGGATAGTATTTCTTTATTACACAACAGAACCCAAGGCTATCATTAATCTCAAGTTGAAGGAGTGCAGCAAGACTGTTATTTTTGTACTAGTGAAATGGAAGGGCTTAGACGAACCCAAGTATGCTAAGCCTTCTTTAATCATTGCAACGCAAATTTGTAGTGGAAAGTATTGATTGTATTAGCATATAGCTAAAACTTCTTATGTAAATAAGCTATGTTCTATTGATTTTCCTTCAAAAATTGAAATTTTGAGCTCTACTTTTGAGATTATGCATTTATCAACTTATGTTGGGGTTTGGTAACTTTCCAGCACTTGCAATGTTTACTCCGGTCTGAAGTAAATTGCACTGTTGTCTCTCAGGTTACCTCGTTAATTGTATGGTTTCTTATTCTTAAAACATACACCCTCCCCAGTTTTCTCATGTTGCATTTGCTAATTCATTCACTAAATTAAAATTTGATGTGAGTCTATTGCTATTGAGTTATAATCCAGTACTCTAATTTGTCAGTACTTCTTTTTTATATTAGTTTAGTTTTCGGTTTTTGGTAAACCTGTTCTTATTTCTGTTATTTAAGCTGTTTTCAAATCTACTTGCAAATAGTTATGGATTTATAATCAGTTTCTTGCCTGCATTTAGTTACCAAGGTTCATTCAAGCTATTAAATGTTGCAGTTATTCTGACAAGGTTTTGAATAATTCAGCATATTTACTGATCCACGGGCATCTCGATGGCGAACCATGACTTAGTTCTGGGTCATAATCCAGATCTAGCACTCCGCCAAAGTCACAACCTTGTCATCAGCCAGAGTCATAGTTTGGACCTCAGTCTTGACCATCACGATCTTGCTCTTGGCCAGACACACGAGCACCATGATCTTGGCCTGGACTATCCTCATGAGGTTAGCAGTCTTGTTCTTGGTCATCATCACTATCCCCAACACCATCATCCTCAGGAACATGATGCCAACAACGAGCTGGCACTTGGCCAGAGCCATGACCCTGATACCGATACTCTTGAACACCAAAATCATGATATATGTCTATCTGAGCACCAAGAATTGACTCTAGCTGACACCCATCATGATCTTTCTGATGCTGATCAAAACCTCGACCACCTCTCTGCTGTCAATCAGTCTCTTCAACTTGTAATCACTTCACCACTTCAGTCTCGAATGATAGTAAGTGCCGCCGATGATCTTGCCATTGGCCAAGAATTCCCTGATGTGAAGAGCTGCCGCAGGGCGTTAAGGGATGCAGCAATTGCATGCCACTTTGAGATCCAGACCATGAAGTCTGACAAGACTCGATTTACTGCAAAGTGTGCTGCTGAAGGTTGCCCTTGGAGAATTCACGCAGCAAAGCTCCCCGGTGTGCCGACATTCACTATCAGGACTATCCACGGGACCCACACTTGTAGTGGAATCAACCATCTCGGCCACCAGCAGGCCTCAGTTGACTGGGTTGCAAATTCTGTTGAAGAACGTCTTCGTGAGAACCCCAATTACAAGCCCAAGGAAATTTTGGAAGAGATCCATCGGACGCATGGTATTACTCTAACTTACAAGCAAGCTTGGAGAGGAAAAGAACGGATCATGGCAGCTGTACGATGCTCTTTAGAAGAAGGGTACTGCCTTCTGCCTCAATACTGCAGGCAAGTCAAGAGGACAAACCCTGGAAGTATCGCTTCGGTGTACGGAGATCCAGATAATTGTTTCAAGCGCCTTTTTATCTCGTTCTATGCTTCGATACATGGTTTTGTAAATGGCTGTCGCCCGTTAATAGGCCTCGATCGCACTCTTCTGAGGAGCAAGTACCTTGGGACTTTACTTCTTGCCACCGGGTTTGATGGTGATGGTGCTTTGTTTCCTCTAGCATTTGGAGTTGTTGATGAAGAGAGTGATGAGAATTGGATATGGTTCTTATCGGAGCTCCATGCTCTCCTTGAGGACCACACCGAAAACATGCCTAGGCTTACTATCTTGTCTGATATGCAGAAGGGCATTGTTGATGGGGTTGACTTCAACTTCCCAACTGCCTTTCATGGTTTTTGCATGTGCCACCTCAGCGACAGCTTCCGCAAAGAGTTCAGCAACACTGTGCTTGTAAATCTCCTTTGGGAAGCAGCTCATGCTCTCACAGTCATTGAGTTCGAAGCGAAGATTCTAGAGATCGAAGACATTTCGCAAGAAGCTGCCTTGTGGATCCGCCGTATTCCTCCTAGGCTATGGGCAACTGCATATTTCGAGGGGATTAGATATGGGCATTTAACAGCAAACATCGCGGAATCTCTCAACAGCTGGATTCTGGAAGGTTCCGGGCTCCCGATAATCCAGACGATGGAGTGCATCCGACGCCAGCTGATGACATGGTTCAATGAGCGGCGGGAGGCAAGCGAGCAATGGTCCAGTATCCTCATTCCCTCCGCCGAGCGAAGCCTTTCGGAGGCCGTGGAGAGGGCGAGGGAATATCAGGTAATAAGAGCAAATGAGGCTGAATTCGAAGTTGTTTCGCAACACGAGGGAGCAAATATTGTGGACATTAGGAACCGGTGTTGCTTGTGTCGGGGATGGCAGCTCTATGGATTGCCTTGTGCTCATGGGGTTGCAGCACTCTTCTCTTGTCGACAGAACGTGAACAGATATGCGGAGAGTTGTTTCACAGTGACGACATATAGGAAGACGTATTCGGAGACTATACATCCGATTCCAGATAAGAGCTTGTGGAAGGAATTATCATCGTCAGCAGGGAATCAAGAAAAAGGGGATAGAGTTGAGACTGTGATTTACCCGCCAAAGTCTCTGAGGCCGATGGGTAAGCCGAGGAAGAAGAGAATGAGGTCTGAGGAGCGGGGAAGAGCGAGGAGAGTCGTGCATTGTAGCCGGTGTAATCAGATAGGACATCTTAGAACTACTTGTGCAGCTCCTATATGAAACAGGGTTTCTCTGCAATGATGTGAAAAGTTTAGATTCATCATATAGTCTGTGTTCTTTCTTTTTTAGCTTATAGAGAGTTTTGAAATATAGTGAATTAAGCTCTTCATGTTTTGTTGCTGTGGAGCTTATGGAAGTGACAGATTAAGAGGGACTTTGTACAGTAATGCTGCAATGCTCTTTTTTGCAGTACGGTTTATGCCTCTGCAATTATGTATTAAATGTTGCATGGATGAACCTCTGCAATTATGTATTAAATGTTGCATGGAAGAATTTTTTCATCTGAATCTTTTTTTTTTCCAGTAATATCAATTTGAACCGGTCATATGAACTCGCTCTGGGAACTGGTTCCAGGTTGTTATTGACAGGTTCAGATTGATTAGTGTGATTTTCCACTGTGACTGGATTTAGCATTTTCGGACTAGTCATTTCAATAAACTTAGATTATTGATCTTCCGACCAAATTCTTGGTTTGAAGGTTCTAACTTTAGGCATGATGAATTGTTGGATTCTTTATTATCATCTCATGTTTATCCTTAGTGCTGTACGGAAAAAATGATGGGAAATTTTGCAAAATAGACCTTTTTGCTAAATATTTAGTAAAATAGACAATTTTGCTAAATATTTAGCAAAATAGACATCTTTTTGGCCAATAGGCCAAAAAGATGTCGATTTTGAAAAAGTGGCTTCAGAAAACATACGGGACTACTAGTCCCGTATGTTTAGAGCTAACTAATTTACTGATTAGCGAACTCAGAAAATATACGGGAGTAGTACTCCCGTATATTTTCTGATCATTAACAAAACGTACAGGACTAGTAGTCCCGTATATTTTGCAGAGCCAGTTCCCCTTTGCCCAGTGGCCTCTGCAATTTCTACGGGACTACTAGTCCCGTAGAATTGCAGACTACATATAAACCCGATGTGCCCCAAATTATGGCACATCCGCTTCCCTCTCTTTCTCTCGCGATCTCCCTCTCTCTCTCTCCCGAGCTCCAACTCCCGATCTCCCCCTCTCTCTTTCCCGAGCTCCAACTCCCGATCTCCATCTCTCCCAAACCTTATCTCACTCTCTCCCAAGCCGATCAACGTCCCAAACCCGATCTCCATCTATCCCAAATCCGACCCAACAATCCCGATCTCTCTCCCCCAAACCCAACTCACCTCTTCCTCCCTCAAATCTGACGCCGACGCCGTCTATTCTCTACGAGGCCGAGGATATCTGAAATTTAATCAAGGTATAAATTTTTATTTTTCCATAAATTTATCTGTATTGTTTAGTTAATGTTGTATATCTAGAAGAAATATATAATTATGATTAAATGTATGGAAAAAAATATAATTTTTATATGATGAATTTTAATGCTTCAGTTAAAATGGCGAATGGAATACCGATTATTTGCTTATTCAATGGAAAACTGAGCGTTGGAATGAATAATATGCATATATACGATGGAGGCTCTAGGAAAATATTCATGTTGTCCAGAAATTACAACTTTGACAGAATGATGACGCAAATATACAGAGTTACTGGAATTAATCACGTCAAAAATACCATTAAGGTCTTCTGTAATTGTCTAATAAATGATCAAAGAACAATTGTTGTAGAGATCACCAATGATGAAGAATTGAATAACATGATACAACTTGCGGAAAAATAAATATCAATCGAGTTGTTCATTGAAAATATTCCAATGTCTGGGGTTGCTGAAGTTTCATATGCTCGTGGAGAGTTCTCCCGCATGCTTGAAAATCAAATCTCGTTATCTCAAAGTGCCATGCGCTTAAAAAATGACTCGGGTGCAATGTCAAATGACGTGTTCCACAACTCGCCGGGTCATGTTTCAGTTGATTTACCGGGGGGTTCTATAATAGTAGAGGATAATGATGAGGATGTAGATGCCGATGATGATACTGAAGATGCTGAAGAGGATGATGTAAGTTGGATGGATGAATATTGCGTAAATAACGACTATGTAGAGTCTGAAGAGCCGTTGCCAGAAGGGTTTCAAAATGATGAGTGGATAAATGCCTCACAAGCTGAGTTCGTCGATCTTGGTCCTAATTTCGATCGACCTGAGGACTTTACTTTCAAAAAAGGAGAACTTTTCGAGAATAAGGATACATTAATTTTCCTATACGTGAATGGGCAATAAAAAACCGGGTCAAATTCAAGATGGTGAAAAACAACACAACTAGCTATCATGTAAAGTGTTACTTTAATGAGAAAGGTCAAGGAGAGAATACAAGCATTGCAGATGATAGAAATTCAAAGTGTCCATGGAAGCTTAATGCAGCTGTTAGGAAAAAAAATCTAATGACCAATTTATGATCTCTACTTATTGCGGACCCTATACATGTTCTAATCCGACTGCAAATTATGATCATAAGACTTTGACTTCCACTTATATCACGAAGCTAATTATGCCCGAAGTTAGGCGGGAACTTGATCTTACTCCAGGACAGATAATTACAAGGGTATATGATATGAAAAGAATAACAATATCCAAGTTTAAAGCATATGATGCACGGAGGAAGGCGTTGACTAAAATCTTTGGAGATTGGGAGGAATCTTACCAATTACTTCTGCATTACCTTTTAGCAATTAAGAGGAAAAATCCGGGTACCAAATATGAGATAGTGTCTAAGGAGGTCGCACCAGAAATGAAGAGGTTCATACGGGTATTTTGGGCATTTGGGCCCGCTATCAAAGGGTTCTCTTTTTGTCGTCCGCTCTTAAGTATCGATGGAACACATTTATATAGAATGATCGACACCAACATATTGTCAATCAGCTTTATCCTCCGATGGAAGAAGTTGATTACATTAAATGATATTGGGGGATTACCAGACGTTGGATAATCACTCAAACTACGCGTCCAGTCGATGAAATCGAGATTCGCTCCCAACAATCCCGATATGTACCAAGAGGGGTAGATGCGAGACGATGGGTAAGTTAAATTGTCAAAATTATCATAGAATGTCAATCTCTTGTTAGCTTATGGTTTCTACTATCAATATTTTATGTAATTGTAGATAGATGCTATGGACGAGGTCGAGATGATTGCAAATGAAGGCATAGCTACCGCCACAGGAGATTCAGTATATGTATCGATATTGCATTGGATAGTGGCGAGAGTTCATAGAGCTTTTCAACAAACTCATGAAGATCGGCATGAAGGTCGTGAGCAGGTGGATCTTGACGATACTCTATATGCACGCCGACGTAGACGCTGTAGACCTTGCACGCACGACGATGAAGCCGGTCCATCACAGCAAGCCGGTCCGTCACAGCGCCACACACAACCGGAGAGTGAGCATATTCAAGCTCAAGTCGAAGGAGGACGCCGACGATCTCAACGAGTGCGAAGAGAGAGACAACGAGGGAGGGGTGGATTTTTTATTTGTTAGTTTTTCCACTAAGATATATATTGTCGTATGGATTTATTGACCTTGGATTTGTTTATCTTAAACTACATATTATCGTATAGGTCACTTGAGACATTTGGATTTGTTTAGCTTAGACTGATATATATTATCGTATGGATTTGTGATATGTATTTTTGTCGGATTTTGGATGTGATGTGTATTCCGTAGGATTTTGGATGTGATGTGTATTCCGTCGGATTTGTGTTGTGATGTGTATTCCGTCGGATTTGTGTTGTGATGTTGTTGATTACGTCGGATTTGTGTGGTGATGTGTATTTTTAAGATTTGTGTTGTGATGTTGTAATTTTATAACTTTTATCAAAATATACAATGTAAATGATATCTTTTTGGAAAAAATTTTGGTCGTAATTGATAAATAAGGCCCATGCATGTTTGGTGCATGTTGTAGTTCTGCCCAGCAAATCCACGGGACTAGTAGTCCCGTGGATTTGCTGGGCAGAGAGGAACTGGCTCTGCAATATGTACGGGACTACTAGTCCCGTACGTTTTGTTAATGATCATAAAATATACGGGACTACTAGTCCCGTATATTTTCTGAGTTCACTAATCAGTAAATTAGTTGGCTCTAAACATACGGGACTAATAATCCCGTATGTTTTCTGAAGCCACTTTTTCAAAATCGACCTTTTTTGATCTATTGGCCAAAAAGAGGTCTATTTTGCTAAATATTTAGCAAAAACGATATATTTTACAAAATTTCCCGAAAAATGATACAAAAATGGTCATGCATCCATTTATGACGCCCTTCTTCTTATTTTTCTTTCGCCTAAATTGCACTTAAATCCCACAAAATTTTCTCGCTCTGTCATTTATTTATTACAAGTTGTATTTTGGCTGGGGAAAAACCCGTAAGTTATTAAAAAATTGGCGTGTTAGTACCATCAATCACGCAAACGTGAAAATTAAATTTTCATTTGCATGTTTCTCATGATGCTTATATGCTAATTTTAGAGTTTTTTAATTGTTAATATTTATTAAATTTGCTATTAAATAAATCAAAAATTTTCCCAAGCTTATCATATTTCTACATTAAAATAGAGTTGGATATGTTTAATGATACATTTAACAAATATTAATGGTTAGAAAGTTATAAAAATGGACATATTAGTGTCATATGGGAACATTCAGGTAAAAATTTTCACGTTTGCAAGATTGAACGTGCCTTTTTGTAACAACTTATGGTATTTTTCTGCGACAAAATATAAGACATAAGGGGCTGTTTGTTACCTTTCCTAAAAATCTAGAAAATAGTTGTTAGTGATAAAGAATCATTTCCAATCTATTGTCAGATTTTCACCTATTTCCACTGCAAACCCCGCGAATTTGGGTTTCTAGGAACTTGGGGGTGTTCTATCCAATTTACAGTAAGCTTTCCAAAAAAAAAACAAATAAACAAATGAATGAATAAAAATAAATAAATAAATGAATGAATAAATAAATAAATAAATATAAATAAATAAATAAATAAATATAAATAAATGAATAAAAATAAAGAAAAAGAAAAAGAAAAAGAAACAAACATAAGAATAGATTCCTAGAACACAAAATCTTTTCTTGAGGGGTGCTTTTAGGTGGTTTTCTAATGTTTTCCACCCAAAATTGTGAAACAAAAAGCCCCTAAATGACAGAGCGGAGAAACCGTGGTACTTACAATTTAGCTTTTTCTTTTCTTTTCTTCCATAGTTTCTCTATCTTGATTTGCTTAGATCATAGGTCAGCATCCTATTTCTAGATGAAACCTAACTTTTGCTATTTTTTCTGGATAAAATTTTCTATTCTTATCCAATACATGTCCAATTTGTGGAACTAAACCTATATGGTTGCCTAAAATTTTTCTTAGATCTGCTCTTATCTAATACATAACCGGTGGAATTTAAATTTGGTAGGTTTAGTACGAATCCTGCTTGGCTTGGTAGGAGGAAAAGTAAGGCGAGGACAAGGGCATAAATTACATTTGCCTTTGGCAGAGAGCTCTTAGAGAGAGATAAGAGTGAGGAGTGGGAGGGAAGGGAAGGGATATCACAAAATAAACTAAAATGTTAGAGAGAGAAGAATCCTTTCAAATAGGAAGGGCACAAGAAGAAAGAAAATAAACTATAAAAATAAGCACCTCTCCTCGATCTCCCCCCTCCAACTAAAATTTGAAGGCTTAAAGGGTCTTCATCCTTTCACCTCGTTGCACCTCCCCTCACCTCAGCTTCTCTCCTCAAAGCCCCTATCAAACCAAGTCTAAAGCTCCATCCCTCTATGAGAATTCCGAATCGTGATGAAACTCAAGGGTTAACAATTTTATACTGTAACCTGCAGTGAATTAATTAATGGGCAATACAAACTGGAATAGGAACAATTTGACAACTAACCATCAGATGGTTACTCAAAATCAATGGCTACAATATTTTCAGGATTCTATTAACAATCTCAGATCGTAATATTTATTTATGATCATTGTAGATGCGGGGAGGAATCCATGAATAACAACCAAACTGTTGCAAGTGACCAGAAAACAAGTATATCTCAACAGCAACAACTGTCTCCAAGTAAGACATATACGCAATTTCATTAAACTCCCATCAGTTAAACCATGAAAGAAAACAAGTAAGACTTACACACTTCCATTTAGAAATGACTAATAAAAATGTGTATAAGTGAAGACTTTAGACACTTTCGTTTAACTTCCATAAGTTAAACCATGATATGTAAAACTAGCCTCGATCATAAATATTCTTAGACTGGTGAGACATAAAAGAAGCCTTGATAATAAATACTCTTCAACTGGTGCATAGAAGGAAGACCCATTTTCTCGGAAGTAAGGGATTATTTCTGCTCTGAAGATAGACAGAAAGTAAGGGATTTTTCCTGCTCTGAAGATGGACAGAAAGAAATGAAGAGGACGGATTTTTTCTGCTCTAAAGATGGACAGAAAGAAGAGGATATCGACAAGTCAGGATGCCACTCTTACATCAAGGGGATGGGTAACAACTTTCCTTTGTCTTTGGAAGCTGCATTTCCAATCTTTGGATTATTTTGTAATCTATTGCAATCATCCTTATAGCTGCCAAGGCTGTGACGACGCAATCGGTAACATATGCCATTGTTGTTATCTCCGTTGTTTGAATCATCACAGCTCTTCCTTCGGCCAAGCTTGGGGGATTTTGCACGGGTTGGAGGTGTCTTCAACCAAGAAAAGAGAATGTAGAGATGTAAGGTTGCCTTGAATCATAATACTGTTAAGTATTCTAGCTCAATGACATCAAAATAAGAAAGAGTATGATTTACACGAGTCTATAAAGATTCATCCATTTTTATCGTTATTTGTTCAATGCAGTTTTGGAGCTCCCCTGGTTGGTGGTATTCTTTCTCTTTGTTGATATCCATATATGGTTTTATGTATTATTCATCTTTAAATTTTACCAGTGGTATTCTTTCTCTTTGTTGGTATCCATATATGGTTTTATGTATTATTCATCTTTAAATTTTACCAGTGGTATTCTCTCTCTTTGTTGGTATCCATATATGGTTTTATGTATTATTCATCTTTAAATTTTACCAAGTTTTTCTGTTTTAAATTATTCATACTAAAATTTGAATACTGGGAATATTCAGAAAGCTAGCATAAGTTTTGAAAGAATCCAAAACTGTTGGCAGAAAAACTATCACTGACACATTTTTTCCAAGATGATGCACTATGATTTGCATATAAAAATTCAAGAAAAACAAAAGCCTTTCTGAAAATATCTTCCACATGATTTGATTGTCACTAACTAGTCTAGGGAACAATTTGAAAGAAGACAATGGAACATATTGAGACATGCCGAGAATATTGTGACTGCTTCACGGCAAGTGAGAGCTTGCTAGATTGGTTGTTTCACTGCCCTGATTGTGTATGCCCAAAATAATTGTGAAATTCTTAGCCTGGATACTAGTTATGCTAAATCAGATTTAGGATTGCTCAAGTTGGCAATCATGTCAGCCTTGGTATGATGAGAGCAGAGACGTATACAGCATGAAAAAGTTCATTCCAGAGAAGTTGTTTAGTCAACAGCCAAAAAAATGCAAAGTTTTCAGCTTCTACGTGGAAATAGTGATGGCAACAATGAGGCTTTCATTTTTTTTTTCTTTTTCCAATGCATGTGGTTGAGAGGAATCTAAAGTAAAATACCTTTTTAAGTTCAATCTTTGGAGGAGGCCCTTCTTGGTAAAAACTTGGCATAGGCGTTGCTTTATAAATCAAATTCTTCCGATATTCTTTTAGAGCAGCCTCCATTTCATCCTGGGAAATGTAGATAAAAAAATCAAAATGATCACAGAGACATTACCAAAAACATTTTCTATATATTTTTCAAATTATGTCTTTAGCAAATATTTTATGGCAAGTATATAACATGAACATATAAAATCAAGACTGACACATGATTATAAGTAAAGCTACTAATTTATTTCAAACCAAGTTGTTATCCCCAGCGTTTATCACCGACATTTTCATATTGTCTACAAAATGACATATTATAAATAATCATAAGCTACATAATTCTACAACATAATTTCCATGCAATAACCATTAACATCAGGAAGCACTCCATTTTAACCCCCCCAGTCATGACGTTATCTATCATCTCCATGAAATAAATAATAAAGATGACATTTGAAGAAATATCTTATCCTTTTGGCATAAATCTATCTCCAAAACATCGCCACTATTAATCAACAATGGAAGGACTTTAGAAATATCTCTTCTTAAAATCATTTCTATCACACGCTTTACCTGTAAAAAACTGAAGGAAATTTTATGTAAAATTAATTTCATACAGTTATGAGACTATTTCCATTATCTCAAGTATCTCACATTTTAAGATAATAAAGTCTAAAAAATAGAAATTATCACAAAATATACACTTCATCAATTTTGTACCTAGAATGTAAAAAACATACGATTGCATTGTCTTACCAACCTGACCTATCACTTAAAGCAAATACCAAAATATATGCTAGAAACAACACTTGTCAAGACTAGTTAAATAGAAAATATGAATCCCAGGACACTTACATAAATTTAAGCCTATGGTTTATGAAGACAAAATAAATATCATGAATCAAATATCAAATACCTAATTCAAGATCATAGCTACCGACTTTTCTTTTAAAATCTCAATTATATTATATATATATATATATATATATATATATATATATATATATATATATATATATTATATATGGAGAAAAATGGGTATACTTGGTACCAAGCACAAATTTTATGCTTGGTAGTGAGGTGTCTCATTCTCATCACTCATTCAATTGGGGGGACCACATTCAACCCATGTGAATGTTGGTCCCCCTATTTGAATGAGTGGAGGGATAATATGCTACCTCACTACCAAGCACAAATTTTAATTGCTTCGGCTACCAAGCATACCCATATTTTCCTCATTCTCTCTCTCTCTCTCTATATATATATATAGTATATATATATATATATAATATATATATATATATATATATATAGTTGAGCCTAGACTATTATTAATAGTATCCAACATAAGGATATTATCAACCCAATTTTTGAAATTGCGTAACCCAAAAATAAAAATTCGAAACGCGCAGATCTAATCTACTACACACGAACTAATAAAATTCCAGTGGATTTCATTATCATAACCCATGCAAAATATTGTCGCTCAAAATCAAAGTTTCAGAATTTTCATGAAGTTGGTTAATTTTCGCCTCTTGATATATAATTCAAAACAAGTCGAAATCATATTGAAATTTGAAAATGAGCGAAATGCATAATAAATAAGAGGTTATATATAATTAGGAATGACTAATTACAATAATGACATATTTTGAGAATTATCTAACTTAAAAGGGAAAAATAGAAAATCAAAGTTTTATAAGGCCAATCCGCTATATATATTATATATATATATATATATATATAATATATATATATATATAATATATATACTATATATATTATATATATATGTATATATATATGAGAAAAATTGTATGCTTTGATACTAAGCACAAAATTTTATGCTTGGTAGTGAGGTGTCCTATTCCCATTCATTCATTTTAATTCCAACCACTCTCCAACCAATGTGAATGTGGACCCATTTTAAATGAGTGGAGGGAATATGCCACCTCACTACAAATACAAAAACTTATGCTTAGTACCAAGCATACCATTTCCCTCTCTCTCTCTCTCTCTATATATAATATATATATATATATATATATATATGTAGAAATATGGGTATGCTTCTGTACCAAGCAGAAATTTTGTAGCTTGGTAGTGATGTGTCACATCCCATCACTCATTACCATTTGAATGTGGTCTCATATTTTGAATGAGTGGAGGAAATGTGACACCTCACTACAAGCATAATTTTTTGTGCTTGGTACCCAAGCCATACCCATATTTCCCTCTTCTCTCTACTCTCTTCTCTCTATATATATATATATATATATATATATATATATATATATATATATATTTATAATATACCTATATATATAGAGAGAGAGAGAGAGAGAGCAGGAGAGAGAGAAATGGAGATCCTTGCCGTACAAAGTTAGCCTTAAAAACACTTGATAGTGATGTGACGATTAATCTTACCCCTACATCACACCTCGAGTATAGGATGGCCCTAACCACCAGTCATCAACTCCCAATATAGATTATAGGACAAATTAGACCACATCACTATCATGTTATTAGAGCAACTTGGTACCAAGTTTCTCTATTTTTCTCACTTTCTTTAAAAAAAATAAAAGCACCATCTTTTAATCCTCTTTTCTAAGGAAAAATTATGTCAATGCCCCAATTTTAAGAACCCCATGTGACCACCCCTTCTAACCTTTTTTCTATGTGATTTAGCCCCCAAAACCAAATCTATGTGATTCAGACCTTACTCAGCTATTATTCCGTGCCAACTAAGTACAGAGAGAAGAAAAAATAAAAAAACCCAAAATACCATTATCTCCTCCACTCTTTTCTCTTCATTTCTCCTCTCTCCTAACCCATCTCCTTCCTCCTCTCTCTTCCTCTTCCTCTTTTTTCTCAGACACCGACATCCCCTCCGTCACCACCGAACTTAGGTACACGCTCCAGCTATATTGTTGATCTGGGGGTATATTACTTAGAAAAAACCCAACATTATTCGCTCCTCTTCTCCCATTATATTTCCCTGCGCTCTCTTTCTTTTCCCTCCAAAACAAAAAAAGCCCTAATTTGGCCGACAATGGCAAAACTCTCGAATTCGTCGGAGTTATTGTTAGAGGATCCGTCAAACAACAGATCGGTCTTCGACACTAAAGGCGAAGAGGTGGTGAAGAATGAGGCAGAGGAGGCGGTGCTAAAAGAGGACGAGGAGGAGCTCGAGCCCATCGCAAGTTCCACAATATCTTTAAGCTATCGGTTTTTTTAGAAATTTGTAATTTCTATTTGAACATCGTGGAAAGATGAAATTTTAAAGAAATACCGGTTAAATGTGATTTTTTTTAACAATTTTTGATGTTAAGTTCAAGCCTAAGGTAGAATATTAAGTCTAATGAGTTAGAAGTGAAGTCGAAGGACTTGTATGTTAAGTCTATTGGGTTGAATAGTAAGTCTAAGGGCTTGCATGTTAAGTCTATTGGGTTGAATAATAAGTTCAATTTGTTGAATGTTAAGTGTAATGTATTATATATTAAGTCTAATTTGTTAAATGTTAAGTGTAATTTATTACACGTTAAGTCTAATCGGCGTGATGTTAATTCTAATTGATTGAATGTTAAGTCTATAGAGTTGGAAGTGAAGTCCAAGGGCTTGTATGTTAAATCTATTGGGTTGAATAATTAGTCTAAAGGTAGTATGTTAAGTCTAATACGTTGTATGTTAAGTCTAATTGGTGTGATGTTAATTCTAATTAGTTGAATGTTAAGTCTACAAAGTTGAGTATAATCCATTAGACTTAACATATAACAAATTATACTTAACATTCAACAAATTAAGCTTAACATATAATCCATTACACTTAACATTCCACTTTTAGACTTATTATTCAACCCAATAGACTTAACATACAATCTCTTGGACTTAATTTCCAACTCATTAGACTTAACATCGAACCAATTTGGGTTAAAAACGAGACTTAAAATTCAATTGATTAGACTTGACAATCTTCCGATTAGACTTAACATTCAACTTATTAGACTTGACATTCGTCTAATTAGAATTAACATTCAACAGATTAGACTAGACATTCCTCTCAATTAGAATTATCATCGAACAATTTAGACTTATTATGTTCATTACAAATAACACACTTTTCTTTAGATTAAAAAAATCTTCCAATTAGGCTTAACATTTAATCAATTAGACTTAATATTCAACTCTATATACTTAACATCGGACAATTTAGACTTAATATTATTTTCATTACAAATAACATGCTTTTCATTAGATAAAAAATGTCTTCTAATTACGCTTAACATTTAACCGATTAGACTTAATATTCAACTTTGTAGACTTAACATTCAACTAATTAGAATTAACATCACGCCAATTAGACTTAACATACAACGCATTAGAGATGTAATAAATTACACTTAATATTTAATAAATTAGACTTAACATATAATTCATTATATTTAACAGTCCATCTTTAGACTTACTATTCAACCCAAAAGACTTAACATACAAGCTATTAGACTTCACTTCCAACTCTATAGATTTAACATTCAATCAATTAGAATTAACATCGCGCCAATTAGACTTAACATCCAACGCATTAGACTTAACATGTAACAAATTTTAGTTAATATTTAACAAATTAGACTTATTATTCAACCCAATAGACTTAACATACAAGCCATTGGACATTTACTTCCAATTCATTAGACTTAATATTTCACCTTGGACTTGAACTTAACATCAAAAATTATCAAACAAAAATCACATTTAGCCGGCATTTCTTTAAATTTTCATCTTTCCATGATGTTCAAACGGAAATTACAAATTTCTTTAAAAAAACCGATAGCTTAGAGATCTTGTGGAACTTGCAACGGCCTCGAGCTCCTCCTTATCCTCCTCTGGCACTGCCTCATCCGGCTCGTTCTTCGCCACCTCTTCACCTTCAATGTCGAAAACTGATCTGTTGTTTGACGAATCCTCCGACGAGAACTCCGACGAATTCGAGGATTTTACCATTCCTGACCAAATTAGAGCATTTTTTGTTTTGGAGAGGAAAGAGAGAGTAGGAAAAATTAGTGGGAGAAAAGGAGTGAATA